TGAACTCCTAACCGTGATCTGCCCACCTCAGCCTCCTAAAGTGCTGGGATTACAGGCGTGAGCCACCGTGTCTGGCCGAGACCCTATATTTTAAAATAAAATAAAAATCAAGAAGGTTCACTCTGTTAAAAAAAAAAAAAAAAAAAAAGGTAAATTTGAAATGCATTTGCATGGTAGTTGTATACCAGTGAGTAGTGTGGAAATTATACATGACTTGACTACATTTTATAAAAGAGGAAAAAAAAAAAATCTAACACGTTGACTCCTAACTGCAAAGTACCACAGAGCACATGGCCCACAGCGCCTGCGGGCTGCATGGGAGCTCTGCTACAGACACGTGTCTCAAGGGGTTCACACTGCTAGGGGCACTGATGGCCACAGCCCTGCATGCCCCCTCGGTGCTCCCCAAGCTCTCGGGGAAAATTCAGATCAGCTTTAACAACAGCGCCAGGGGCAGAGGCTGAAGTTGCAGACAGGAACAATTAGGCCTGCCAGTCAGACACCTCAGCTCTTCCAGCAGCCCTGTTCTCAGAGCCTCCCTCTGCACATGGAGCTAGTACCAGAAGGCCCCAGAGCTGGGTGTAGAGGACGTTTATATGCTCACAGAGGGCCATGGCTCTCCACCGCCCTTACATCTGACTCTGCGGAGATAAACTTTCCCTCGTCTGGACTTCCAGTCAGATTTTAACAGGTGAGCCACCCAGTCCAAGCCAGGTGGGGCTCACACATTTGCTGGCCAATTTGAGAAGATGTGGTTCCCCAGGAAAGCTCTACCTCGATGACGAATTGCTGGGGTTACATTCATTTGGGTAAAATATATCAGCTTTTAAAATCACAGAATGGGCAGGGTGCAGTGGCTCACGCCCGTAATCCCAGCACTTTGGGAGGCTGAGGTAGGCAGATCACAAGGCTAACATGGTGAAACCCCGTCTCTACTAAAAATACAAAAAATTAGCCAGGCATGGTGGTACGCACCTGTAATCCCAGCTACTTGGGAGGCTGAGGCAGGAGAATCACTTGAACCTGTGAAGCAGAGGTTGCAGTGGGCTGAGATTGCGCCACTGCAGTCCAGCCTTGGGGACAGAGTAAGACTCTGCCTTAAAAAAAAAAAAATCACAGAATGAAGTGAATTCATTGTTAATTAAAGGGTGCTGAGTGACAGGCCTGGAACAAGAGCCCTTCATTTTCAGCAACAGGACTAGGCGAGGGAAGGGAAGCCCTTCCAGCAATTATGGCGCTTGGTGCCTCTCCATACCCTGTCACCCCACTCACTTACGGGCCAGGCTGTGTTGGCCCAGCAGGAAATTCAGGCTGATGTTCCCCCCGGCACCACCCCCAGTAACAGTACCCGTGTCCTGCTTTGGTTCATGTTACACACACATCCGAAAGGAAACCAAGAGGAGAAAATGACTGCCTGGAACCTGCTCAAAAGAATGCACCCGATTTATGGGTGGAGCTAAATTTCTACTTGTACTGGGAAGTCAGCCACAGAGCTGATTTTCAACATGACTCCTAGCAAAGGCACCATCAGCCAGGTGCTGAGGCTGCTGGACTCGTGAGAGTGTCATCTTTCGGGAAGGATTTCCAAATGTCAGGGTTAAGTGTGGGAGCAATTCTCATCCCCTCCATACTCGGATCTGCCTGTGCCCAGATCAGGGAAGACAGAGAAGCCTGTGCCCAGTGGGTGGTCTGCTTTTCTGGGCAGGAGCACTATGGTCTATTTCACAGTTCCATCCACTTCCTACCCCTCACCACACATGGACACTGGCTTCTAGCAGTGTCTGCCACGCCAGGGTATCTGGAAACTCACTCCCTTCTAGGAACCTCCTGCTTCCTCCTGCTGGGTTCTGCAAGTACGCCCTTTGAATAGGAAATTCAAATACTGAGAAAAGCTCATCTCCCGGGGACTATTTCAGTGGGATGTGGGTTAGGCAAGGCCCAGCACATGCCAAGCATGGCTGTTCTGAGCCTTTAGGTCCTCTGGGCTCACGGGCTAGAGCCATGGCCATGGCCTGTGGTCAGCAGAACCACACCACACCGGCATCTCCTTGAAGGGGCTGCTCTGGGCCCTCAGCACCACAGACACAGCCACGCGAGGGGAACGATGAAGGATGCTTCCAGTGAGTGGTGACCTGTCTGTGGTCCAAAGTCAGCTTCCACCCGGACATGGCAATACTGAAGCCCAGAAATCCGATGCATCTATTTCAAAATGCTGCCCTGAACACCAAAAATAACCTGCCTCCAAGTTCCACAGGGTTCTGAAGGGAGAGACAGAGCAGCGAGTAAGGGAGGAGCCGCAAGGGGAGTCTTGGTGATCTGAAGACTTTCCTCCAGAACGAGTGAGACAGGCCATGAACGTGAGACAAGAGCAGCACATCCCCACCCTGTGGATTCCAGTCCCAGCCCAGTCACCACCCAAACCGCAGACTGTCTCTCCCCGGTAGCCTGTTACCTGCTGTTGAGGCTGGGTCAAAAAAGGCAGCTTCAGCACCTTTCTTGGGAAACCTAACACTTTTCCAGGTCCAGTAACAACGCCTCACAAAACGAGAACGAGATTGAAAGGCTGACGCCAGTGAACCATCCCCTTCCAGGGCGCACGGTGCCAGACCCTCCCCTGGTGCTTCTATATGCAGGTGCCCAGTAAGCCCACTGCAGTCCCCCACCAACCCTCAGGCCTGGGCCAGCTCCACTGAATGCCAAGGCTTCAAGGAAACAACAGGATCCCTTATTTAAGGACCATCTCTCCCTGGGGCTGCTGTGCCAATTAAGTAAGCCTTAAAGTGGTCTGTCCTCTTCTTCAAAGTGAAATTTTTTGAATTTCAAGGGATTGAATGAGGCTGCTAAGCATGTGACACACCTTACAGAGAAATGGGACCAAGAGATTGAAAAAGGCTGCACGCACGTGATGAAACACTAGCAAGGATTTTCTCTCTGCCCTTAAATCACAAAAGAAAACCCACCATCCCTACACTTCTTCTCAAGGCGGGGTGCTGGCCAGTGAGAAGACCTAGTGGGCACATTATACGGTGAAATACAATCTGCACCACACTAAACATGGATGTCCCCAAACCTGGCAGGAACCTCCCAGCTGGCCCCTTTAGTGGCTGTCAACTGTGGCTGACGTCTGAACCACCTGGGACATGGGGAAACCTGCACTTACGAGCTGGTGTCTCAGGCTTGGCGGCTCAGCACACTACCTGGGTAAGAGCGCCTCAGGTGATCGACTGTGTCTTCAGGGCAGAAAGCCACTAGGCCATCCAGCATAAAAATGTGAGGACATCCAGGCTCCCAGAGCTCAGCCCACAGTCAGAGCACACTGTGTGCTCAGGGCGGGTGTTTTTCTGGCACACTCTCTGCCTTTCCCACTTGTGGTCAAGGCCCCACTGGCCACACATGGGCAATGGTGCTGAGCAGCATCCCCACTCCTCTTTCCAGAAAGCTGCTTGTTTGGGAAAGAGGAGAGATGCCCAGTGATGCTGAAGAGCAAGTTCTGGTGGAGGCCTGGGCATGAGAGCTCCAGTCACACCATGCTGAGGACCGGACAGTGCCCATGCTTCCTAGGAGTGGTCTCCTCACTTTCTGGCTGGAACAATAACCACAAAGGTTGCAAGTACAGACCTCTACCTGTTATCCCCTTGAGTGCCTCTGGTCTCCTGAACATATCAAGGTCCTTCCCCTCCGAGCTTCCCCATCTTAGAGAGCGGGGCCTCTCACGCTCACATGCGTGCGTGCAGGTATATATGCTGCCATGTCATGCTTTAAAAATAGAGTGTTTTGAATGAAAGCCTCTGGAACACATCTTCATGTATTTTTAAGGTAGGGTCTTGCTCTCTTGCCCAGGCTGGAGTGGAGAGAGTGATCACAGCTCATGTAGCCTCAAGCTCCTAGGCTCAAGCGATTCTCCTGCCTCAGCCTCCCAAGTAGCTGGCGCTACAGGCACGCACCACCATGCCCAGCCGATTCTGTTTATCTGTAAAGATGGGGTCTCGCTTTGTGGCCTGGGTTGTTCTCAAACTCCTGGGCTCAAGCAATTTTTCCACCTTGGCCTCCCAAAGTACTGGAATTATAGGTGTGAGCCACCGCACCCAGCCCAAAATACTATTTACAGTGGTTCTCCTACATGGCAGGCTTTGTTTGGTATGTGGAAATAATAACTGTGATGAATAAATAACAAACCATGTTCAAATATAATTAGGATTACAGCCGGGTGCGGTGGCTCACACCTGTAGTCCCAGCACTTCGGGAGGCTGAGGTGGGTGGATCACAAGGTCAAGAGATCAAGACCATCCTTGCCAACATGGTGAAACCCTGCCGCTACTAAAAATACAAAAAATTAGCTGGGTGTGGTGGCAGGCGCCTGTAGTAGTCCCAGCTACTCGGGAGGCTGAGGTTGCAATGAACGGAGATTGTGCCACTGCACTCCGGCCTGGTGAGAGTGAGACTCCGTCTCAAACAAAACAAAACAAAAAAAAACAAAACAAAACGGTTAGAGTGATTCACTCTGAACTTTTGGGACTGAAAAATCAGTTGGTTTTGAATTCTAGCAATATTTTCTATTGAGCAAAGAAAGACTAAATTTATTTTAATAAACATCCAGAGGCTGAGGGTGGCCAAATTTTCAAGCCAGACCCTCTCATTGCTACTACACTGTGCAAAGCTTACGCCACGAGCAACTGACCTGGACCACTACCGTTCCAATGGGAGCCTCCACCTTACAACACCAGATTAGTAGATCTCTGTTCCCAGAACCCCCAAGTTAGTTCTAACTAATCATCTTCTAAGAGTTTTTTTTTTTAAATATTGGAGTTAAAATAATCTGACTCGTTTTTATCAAAGTAGGAAAATTACAGTAAGAATTCCAGAGATCTCTATAAATTACAGACCTATGACTCAAAATCTTTGAAACAATATCTCAACAAACAGAAGAGCTTAAAATAGATTTCAGTAAAAGCCCTACATGCATTCTTATGTGTAAACAGTATAGTTATGAGGAACGAATCTTACTTTGAGGAAGTTTATTGTTACATTTTTGCAATAATTGATGAGGCACAACTACCTCCTGCTTTTCCAACATCTTAATAAAAAAGACAATAAAGATTAACAGTGAAATTAAAATTAAAAAATACAAAAGCCTAATGTTCTGGAGACAAAAATGACTACAGTCTATGTATAGAAAAGTTGTAAATGATGATAGTTTAGTCCTGCAAAGAGTTACCTTCTCCAATGACAATGCGTTATAGAATTTGGAAGGGGGTGTCTTTAAAAACTTCCTAATTCACCCTGGTCATGAGGAAGAGGAGGAAGTCCAGCTCAGCAAGGCCAGGGTGGTGGGGTCAGTGGCTGAGCGAGTCAAGAACCTGGGCCGGGAGTCATTCCACTGTACTTTCTATCGAGTTAAACAGACCTCACAACAGCTCCTTACTCTCATGCTTCCGGTTTGAAAGCGATTAGTAAATATGCCAGACTGTTTAAAGGAAAACAAGCACTCACTGACCAGGCGGGACTACTCAGGAAGGTGTTTCAAACAACTCCCCTGCCACGCCAATCATGGTGGTGCTGCCTCCAACAGCGCCACCAAGAGGCACTCCAAGTTTGTGGAGGACCTGCTTGTACTCCTCTGGGCTCTGGGTCCTGACAAACATGGGGGATAGTGAAAGCTGACCCCAGCAGCACACAAAGCTCACCATGCCGTGGACTGAGCTGCACTTCACTGCTGAAAACTGAAAATGTGACCCGAGACCATCCCGAGGGAACCACCAAGAGTTTTCTTTCTCCTTTAAAATGTGGTCATTGGCATTAATCCCTCGTCACATCCTTTAGATCTGTGAAGAGCCAAAGGAAGCAGTACGAAAACAGCAACTTCATCATCCAGCCAAAATAAGAGCTGTAAGCCCAGCAAACCCTTGAGCACCACGAGAGAGAGAGAGTCCATGCTGTCTCCTAATGAAAACGCTGTGCTGACAGGGTGACCCAGAGGCAGGTCCCCCTCCCTCCTCTTTCTGCTTCTGCATCTGCCCCAGAGCTTCTGTTGATCGGGTTTGCGGGAAAACAAGCCCAGAATGAGCTGCAGAGGGGCTCGGGGTCAGGGGCAGCATGGCCTTGGGACAGGGCCCTGGGATGTATGACTGAGCCACAGCAACATTTGGGTGCCAAATAAGAGGAAGCTTTTCATTTGCTTTTAATGCTAGGACACATCCCCAAACATACTAGGCAGGATTTCTCAGTAGAGTGATACACAGAGGGGACCAGCTTGGAATGCAATGTATTTTAAACACAGTAAAAGACACCTGGCAGGTAGCTGGACAAGTGAGCTGGGCCCAGGATTGGCCAGCTCATGTCAACATTCACAAGCTTCGGGTGGACTCCCCCAGGACAGCGGCATCCGAGAGTGTTTACTTGTTTTGCAAGCAGTCACAGAAGTGAGGGGCCTTGATGAGAATCAGCCTTAGGAGAGCTGAGAACAGGCGTGGCCGTTCCCAATGAAACTGAAGGCACTGGTGGAGTGGCAATGCGGAGAAACCCAGATTCCTCCAGCATTTGTGGGCTTCCTGAAAGGTCAGCTGTTAGCTCGCCAAGCAGCTGGGACATTAACAAAAGCGCTGCTCATTGCCTTGCCAGTTTTCTGAAGCCCCAGAAGAGGAATGTTTCTGAAAGAAGGAAGCGCTATGTGCTGCCAACTGCATGTGAGCAGATGACTTGCAGGATGGGAAAGCCATCTGCAAGGCGACTTGGTTTCTGTCTTTGCCATCAGGTTGGGTGGGGGTGGCTAGGGGTGAAGAGCACCGCTGTGCGCATGAACGGAGCAGCAGTCACCGCAGGCATCCTGTCTCACTCCATGTTGTGCTGCTGGGCATCTGGCAGGGCAGGAAGGACTGAGCCCCCTGCAGGGGCGTTGAGGTGAATCCACACCTGCAGAGTCCCCCATCCTGTCCTCAGAGCTGGGAGGGGATCCTAGGCATGGCTCCTCAGCTTTATCTAAAAGGCTGGATGAGGGGCTCTTAGGAAAACTGGCACGGGAGTTTGCAAAGGCAACATGCTCCCTTTGGGAGGTGGCCTTCAGACACTGCGGCTGGGGCTGCAGGGCCGGGCTCAGGCACTGAGTTTAGCAGCACTGGAGTGCACTGGATCTCTACAAGCTACCGTTAGGCAAAGCTCTCAGGTTAGTCCGTCTCAGGGAAGACTTGCAAGTTAGAAAAGCCATCTGCAAGGCCAGCTGGTTTTTGTGATTTTGTCATTAAAGACAGAGCGTGCGCGCGCACGCACACACAGACACACACACAGAGTCCTCAATTAAATTGTGTCAGAAAAAGAGTAACATTTCTGTAAAGAAAAGCAAGCAGTGTTATTAGATGTTCCGTATTAATAACACAATGATCCCTTGGATTTTCAGTAGTTTTACTCGTCCCCAGGATTCAGTAGCTAACATGACAGTGTCCATGTCCTTTTGCCTGGAGTTTGCTGGCTGGGCTGGGCTGACAGCATTCTGGAGCCAGGTATTTGAGGGCACGGATCGGAGAAACCCACTCAAGGACCACAGAGACGATACACACCACAGAGCCTGAGCCGCAGCCTCGGAGGCTGTTGACAGACGCTGGAAACTGGGGCTCTCCTGCTCACTGCAGCATGATGTCCTTCAGGTTCTCCTGCAGGATGGTATCTTTCACAGCATGGAACACGAAGCGGACGTTCTCGGTGTCAATGGCAGTGGTGAAGTGGTGGAACAACGGCTTGCTGCGGTTCCGTCTCTTCCTGTCAAAGCACTGGACCAGGTAGCGCTGGACGTCCTCCAGCCGGTGCGGGTCACCCCTGAAGTCCGGGAAATGCTTCTTGATGCTCACGGTCTTCACCTTCTCCACCAGGAGATCCATCTTGTTGAGGAAGAGAATGATGGAGACATTGAAGAAGAGCTTGTTGTTGACAATGGTCTCGAAGATGTTCATGGACTCCACCAGCCGGTTGGTGCGCCTGTCCTCCATGAGGACCTGGTCGTACTCGCTGGAGGAGACCATGAACAGGATGGACGTGATCCCATCGAAGCACTGGAACCACTTCTGGCGCTGAGACCGCTGGCCGCCCACATCCACCATCTTAAAGGGGATTTTCTTAATAACGAAGTCATGCTCCACAATCCCCTTGGTTGCTTTCCTAGCCAGCAGGATGTCTTGCTTACTAGGAAAGTAATTCTGTAAAACACAGGATGGGGCAGACATTTAGGAGGGCTGGAAGGAACACATGAAAATAAAAAAATGGCAAAAAGATAGGGTGGAAGGAAAGAGATCGACTTTTGCAAGAGGTTGAACCAAATACCGAAAGCAAATTTCATTTATAAAATTATCAATTGGCCATGAAACAGAACGTGGCAGAATCAAATACTTTATTTCAAAACAAAAAGAGGCTCACCAATCTGCAGACGAATGATCAGAACACTCGTGGACAGGCCCCAGCTGAAATCACATCCATTTTCTTCTCCAGAGGGAATTTACCTTTTTTTTGTTTCCATACCAGAGATATCTTTTTATTTTTCTAACTTCCAGAGCTTATAGCTTCCAAAACTAATTTAGGTGAACTAAATTACTGTGAACTAATTTAGGTTTTGTAATGTGATTTAAATTCAGTCTGCAATGTATCTGTTATTCTTAGAAAATTCTTCATATCCTGGGCCTGGCGCAGTGGCTCACGCCTGTAATCCCAGCATTTTGGGAGGCTGAGGCGGGCAGATCACCTGAGGTCAGGAGTTCGAGACCAGCCTGACCAACATGGTGAAACCCCGTCTCTACTAAAAATACAAATATTAGAGATAGATAGCACCCCTGTACCCCAGTCTGGGCGACAGAGTGAGACTTCTTCTCAAAAAAAAAAAAAAAAAAGAAAAAAAGAAAAAAATCTTTAAGTCTTTAGCAACACACAGGCAACCGTAGTCACTCTTCACCCACTTTGACTTTGCACTATTAATAATCCTCCAGGCCAGGCATGATGGCTCATACCTACAATCCCAGTGCTTTGGGAAGTGGAGGAATAACTTGAGCCCAGGAGTTCAAGACCAGCTTGGGAAACATAGTAAAACCCCGTATTTACAAAAAGTAAAAACATCAGCGGGGCATGGTGCCGCATGCTTTAGTCCCAGCTACTTGGGAGGCTGAGGCAGGATGGCTTGAGCCTAGGAGGTTTAGGCTATAACGAGCTATGATTGCACCACTGCTCTCCAGCCTGGGTGACAGAGTGAGACCCTGTCTGGGGAAAAAAAAAAAAAAAAAAAAAAACCCACCTCTTGTGATGAGTGCATGCACCATTCAGGCTGTCTTGCAAAAAGAGCAACAGGGACAGGATCAAGCCTCGATCTAGAGGTCTACCCACCACCCACAGGTTATGCAGGGGACAGAGAAACATCTTCAATAACACTACAGGGGTGGAAGGGCAAAGTCCAGAGAGTAAGAAACCCTACGGGATAAATAATCCAGTTACTCCAATACATACATTGAAAGAAAAAGGATAGAGACAAACAGATGAAAACTTAAGCGATATTGACCGATTGCAACGCATGGGCCTTATTAGGTTGTTTATTCAAATTGCTAAAATAAAGCAAAATCAACAAGAAAACATTAATGAGACAACAGGGAAAATCTCCAAACTGACTAGGCTGACATTATGGAATTTCTGCTAATTTTTCAGGAGCCATACGGTATTGTGCTTAAGATTTTGAAAGTCATCTTTTAGAGGTACACTCTAAAATATTATTGGTGAAACGACATGGCTGTGCATTTGCTCCTGGAGGTGGGGGGAGGGCTGACGAAACAAGATTGGCAATCAGTGATAATGTTGCACCTGAGGTTTCATTAGACTATTCATTTTTGTAAATGTTTGAATTTTCTGTAAGATAAACGAAGGCCTCCTTTTTTCACTCAAGAACTCCTCTGTCTGTCTCCTTTAAGGTAACCGGGGGAAAGGCAGTCTCACAGGGCGATTTCCTCCTCCTCCCTACTGAGACAAAGCCCAGATCTAAGAGAGAGCATAATGTTACAATGCTACTCGTGGTAATGTAATAGAACAAGCTTGGCCTGTTGGTCCAGCCGAGCCCTCACGAGGTGGATTGCTTTGGTCTCTGGACAAATGTTTTCTAATCTTGGAGCCCAGCTTCTTTGGGTGGGGGTGCTTACTCACCAGCTGGCCGATCCGGTCCAAGTTGTCCAGGAAGTACTTCACTGACTCCCCCTGTCAGGAAGGAAGAATATTCACAGCTCAGTCTTGACAGAGGAATCCTGATGTGGCAAATACAAGAATCTAACAGGGTAAGAGCAGTGGGATTTTGCCTCTGTGTAAACAGGAAAGCAAAGCAAAAGGGCAGAGTGTCTGTGTGTTTTCTAAAATAAAAAAATCTCTACGATTAAAGAAAAATTTTCATGCAGTTTCTTTAGCTCCAACACCCATATTTAAATTCTGGCAGTTTTTCAGTTTTCCCTGCTGGGTTTTGGTATGTGGTGAAATGCCGGGCCCTCTGACAGGTGACTCTCTTTCCAGACATGAAGGCTGGCCCACTCCTGGCCGTGCTGCTGCGAAGGTCAGACTAGAATAGGATTTTAGATTTTGGCTCCTGGGTCCAGTCTTGCTTCTGTCAAAGACAGCCCAAGGGACCCAAGATATTGTCTTTAAAGGAATAATGGACTCTTTCTGGGAACTGGAAGATGTTTTGCGCATATGGCAAAACATCTTCTAGTTCCCAGAAAGAGTCCATTATTCCTTCCCACATTTTTATACTGATTTACAGTAGCAAACACAGGGGAATCTTCCATTTGGATTGTTGTGGTGGAATGACAGCCAGTCTTCTCCTGGACCAAACATCGATACAATTTGAGACGTGTTCTGTGGAGAGAAGGGCCCTGCGGAATCACCCGGAGCCCCGTTTCAGGAAGCGCTGAGCCACCAGACGCGTGGCACACATAGGGCACAGGAGGAACCGGGAGGGCATGCAACCCCGACCACAAAGCAGCCCACACATGAACAGGTATGCACAAGATTGCCTTAAAATGCAGAATGTTAAAAACCAATTCTACCGCTTTCTAAAAGATTCTACTTTGAACCCTGCTCTAAAGACAGACACCAGCAGGCGGAGTATAGGCTTCCAGGCTGCCTTGACATCAGGGCTGTGGGAAGAGCAGGCACTTTCTGCGCTCTCATGGAAGTGTACAGGGGCACAGTCATATACATATACACGGTCATATACAGGGGCACGGTCATATACGAATTTTAAGGAGGGAAGGCCACCAGAATGGACTAGGTGATGGCGCCAAAGCTCGTGACATCCTAAGGGATGGAGAAAGGTGGCCAGCGTCTGCTCCGTCTATCTCTTCCTCCTCTGTCCCAGATAGACTGTGAGGAGAAAGCAGAGCGGAAGCTCCTTTAGTGAGGAGCCCACCTTCCCCTTAGAATGAAGGCCTCGATGTTTCCAAAGTGAGTGTTTGGTTTGAGGGGAGAGAAACACACGTCTCCCCATCCCAGCACTGCCTGTGTGAGCCAGCAACCTCCTACTCCTCCTCTGTGGCAGGATGGGGTGAGCACAGGCACCTCATGACCACCTGCTCTCCAGAGCCCCAGGCAGAGGCCCAGCTCTGCAGCAGAGAAGGCACTCCGAGCACCCAGCATGACTGACCTCTTGCACTCGCTCTCGCCCTTCCTCACCAAGCCCCTGCGATGTGGGAAGCCAACGTGAGGCCTGTGCGGCACCCGCCTTCCTGTGGCTGTGGCAAGTCCCCTGCTCCTCTGCACATCTGCCTCCTCCCATACCCAGACAGGAAGCAGCTGGGAGAAGCTGCTGGAAGCACTCACTCACCTGATTTATGACAAGTTCCTTACCCAGCACCTTTCTCTCCTGCCTCCTCCTGCTCTCCTGCCCTCACCTGGGCCTCAGGAGGTGCCGTGTGAGCACAAGAAGCATCAAGACGCCATCTCCACCTCTCCTGTGGCCGCAAGGAGCTGTGAGTGACAGCAGCTCACAGCCCAGGCCACCCTTGCCTGTTCCTAGGCAGGTGGTGGCACCAGGCATGAGGGAAGCAGAGGCAGTTCTCCTGCGGGGTTCTAGCTGGGCCAGGCATGGAGAGTCACAGTGGCGCACATGCCCCAGCCAGTGCTCTTATCACCACAGGACACAAAGCCCTGGATGCACATGCTCCACCCAGACAGTGTGGACACAAGGGGAAAAGCGCCACAGAGGACACAATCAGGACTGCCAGATGGGAAGCAGGAAACAGGAAGGACGTTTCCCCCAGTGTGAATCTAAACATCCCTACCGAGTCTGAAATCAATCACCCAACTGCACTTTACAACACAGCCACCACTAACATTAAGATATCTTTACTGTTGCTTTCTCTCCAATGACTCTGAATGAGGATGGCTCACTTACCACAGCAGTTTGTTTTTTACTACTTGGAATGGATATAACTTATCTGTGACTCTTGGTTGTCTTGCATGGCTGGTGAAAGACAGGAGTCGGATCTAGTTGCATGCCAGGGTGGCCTCATCTCAAGAAACAGCCCAGGGGGTCCATGGGAAAGTGACCACTGAGCTGCAAGGTCCAGGGACCATGCCACAAGCTCTCTAACAGGGGCCACAGTGGAGGGAAGAAGGGGACACAGAGCAACCCTGTGCGATCCAGAATGCCGTCACCCACGTCTGCACTCTTTGCTGTCCCTGAGGTTTGGAGCACTGCGGTTTACCCCCAGAGACTGGATGATGCGCCCACTGATCTGGCACACAGCCCATGGGAAGATCGTGTGCGACAGACTCCCTCCATTCTCACAGCACCAGCTCATTAAAAGGGCCAGGTTTAAAATCCCATGCATTTTCAACCCTGGAGAATTCAGTCATTTCTTCAGAGAAAAAGCATGTGGTAGAAACTGAGATGTCCACATGAAATTAACTGCTTGGGGGTTTATAAAGAGGCACTGTGCATGCCAAGATGAGCCCAGAGTCTTCTCGAAAGCTGCTGCAGTCCTGAGATCTAGCAAACACGAGTGGATCGAAAGTGGGCTTTCAGGACTCACCTGGGCATGAAAAACCTACATTGCTCAAGATAACACAAACTTGGACTTGTGGATTAGATGAAATGAATTCACTGGGCTGGGACCAGAGGCCACTTAGCACACACCTGACAGAGGCCTGTCCTCTGCCTTAACTGTCCCAGGAACATGCCTGTCTGCTCACGAGCAGCAAAAGGGATGAACCTGAGTAGGGGCTGGTGGGCAGGGAAAGAGGGGTTGTCTGTTTCAAGCAGCAGTAGCAGGTTGATTTGGGGCCTGGGCGTAGCCAGGCAGATGTGACGTTTTGACTTTGGGCAGGACCTAAGCCAACACACATCCATGAAGAGACCACCTTTCTGCAGGGGCCTGAAGCCTTTAGCAGTCTCTAGAAGCACCTGTCCCTCACACCTCCGGTGAGAGGATGACACACACTGGGCTCGCTGCCACTCACAGTTCCATCAGCACCGTCAGGCAGGCCCTGCGGCAGCCTCACCCATCACCTTTGTCTCTGTACACAGCAAGCTGCCCTTCACAGACCTCTGCTGGCCGCACGCACTTCCTTCAGCTAATTGAGGACCACAAGCAAAGAGCCTCAAATCTTTCAACCCTGCACAAGACCAGCCCCTTGAGATCAGTACACGAGGGGCTGACTTTGGTTCCTGCTTGTCCTCTGCTCCTAATTGGAGCCTTTCTACACACACGCTTGGTTCAGTTCCTGCCTCTCTGTCAATGTCATAGACTGACAGGGTATGCATGAAAGACAGCCCATGTGTGGATCCCACCGGGGTGTGAGAGGGAACAAAGGTAACTGGATTGGTCTAAGCTGTAAGGGTCAAGGTAGGGAGAGATCAAGGACCAGAGAGTGGTTACAAAGAGAACGAACACCAACTTCCAGCTCCTGGCCAGAGGGCCTTTTAGTTTAAACCCTGTCTGCCCATTCAGGAGCTGTCTCAGTTTCCCTTTTTCCTTTTTTTGAGATGGAGTCTCACCCTGTCACCCAGGCTGGAGTGCAGTGGCGTGATCTTGGCTCACTGCAACCTCCCCCTCCTGGTTTCAAGCAATTCTCCTGCCTCAGCCTCCTGAGTAGATGAGACTACAAGTGTGCACCACCATGCCGGGCTAAGTTTTGTAGTTTTAGTAGAGACAGGGTTTCACCAGGTTGACTAGGTTGGTCTTGAACTCCTGACCTCAGGTGACCTGACTGCCTCGGCCTCCCAGAGTGTGTCCCCCAGCCTTGTCTTAGCTTCTGCATTTAGTGAAGTTAACTCTAAAATCCTAAAATGGGGTCATTCACACTGACTGAAAACAGAACTTATCAATGGTGAGCTAGAGTATTCCAAAATCTAGTTCACTCACTTCAACAAATTACAAAGACAAATTTTAAAATTGCTGTATATTAAAAACAACAGCAAACTCTCCAAAGGCTAGGTTTCCAATTTCATTACTTAAAGTTAGCATTTGATTTCCACTGAATAGAGATGCTAACCAAACAACAGAGAACCTTTCAAAATACTTAAAAATATTATATAGTTCCCCAAACAAAATCCTCTTTTGAACTCAGGCTTTGCTAAGTGAATGCCTATGACATCTCACTGCAGTGGTATGAGATGAAGTGATTAGCACAGCTGTGAAAGTGTTCTGGAAAAGAGAGAGCACCGTATCAATATACATTATAAAAATCAAGCTTTTCAAGTTTTAACTTGGGTATCTATGAATTGTCTGTTGCTAATTTATAATCCTAAAATATTGGGTAAAAGGGCCAGGCATGGTAGCTGACGGTAATCCCAGCACTTTGGGAGGCCAAGGTGATCACTTGAGGTCACGAGTTTGAGACCAGCCTGGCCAACATGGTGAAACCCCGTCTCTACTAAAAATACAAAAATTAGCCAGGTGTGGTGGCGTGTGCCTGTAATCCCAGCTACTCACGAGGCTGAAGAATTGCTTCAAACTGGGAGGCGGAGGTTGCAGTGAGCTGAGATTGCACCACTGCACTCCAGCCTGGACAACAGAGTAAGGAAAAAAAGGGAAAGAAAGAAAGGAAGGAAGAAAAAAAAAAAGATTCACTGGCAGAAATACAAAGTGACTTAGGCACAACAAGGCTGTCCACTGCAGCAAATTAAGAGAAGCTAGTTGAATAAATTGTGATCTCCATGCAGTTGAGGGCTGTGGTCCCAGCGAAGGAGTGAGATGAGCTCCGTG